AAGAAGACACGCTTATGCGCATAATTAACTGCATGACACGCACGAGTAAGATAGTTTCGTATGAAAAACAAAAAGAGTCTCTTTTCTCTCGTTTAAAACGTCCTTCGAGATGCCAGAAAAAAGAAGGAAATAAAAAGGTAAAAGATAGATTACACCCACAGACACATCTAGAAAAAGTAGAACAAAGAGTAAAGGCGATATCTAAATGAGTCGAACTGATTAAAATTCACCTAGGTGTGAATACGAGAATACAAAAATACTGTCTAATTGCGAATAATAAAAAATGCATCATCTTTGTTGTTGTTGGCTATGAATAATAAAATATTAAGAATAGAAATATACTAAGATGGTACGTGCTTAAAAGAACGAATTAGGTAATTAAATGTGCTTGCTTGTTTCATATCAACACAAAGAAAATTTATATAATCATTCTTAAATGATAACAATTATAAAATCTTTCAACAAAATAAGTATGCAGAAAAGAAGACAAAACGTATAACTACGATACACCTGGGAATCGTTAAATAAAACCTAGAAAAATCAAAAGAGGAATTTTAATAAAATATAAAGAATGAAAAGGGGGAAAAAGAAAGAAATATAAATAAATACATAGAAAGAAAAAGAAAATCTTCGCAAACTGGTATTCCTTTCAAATAATAATGAAGAAAAGTTAGGATAGGGGGTTAGGTGGAAAAGAACAGAAAAAAAAAAAGAAAACAAGTTTCGTTCTTTCAATTAACCTTAGCCCAGATCGTGAGATCAATATTTAACGTTTATATGAAAAGAATAAAATGTGAAAATTTCAAAGGTAAGACACAATCCAAGTGGAGTTTAACTTCAACGAGGGAATAAAATCAACGTAAGGTCGTTCGTGCTATATAGACTGCGTACGGTTTTATACGTATGCCCATAGAATTTCAAAAAAGAGAAGCCGGGCATTGGCGAATGTAGAAAACGGTGGGTACAAGGTATGTAAACGTGAGATGGTGACGCCAAACGGTATCCGAGTTCAAGGATAAGAAAATAACTAAAAGAGTTGAGATAACGATATTTGTTCAGTCGTTCACCATTGCATACGCATAAAAGTCTTCTTCTTCTTCTTCTTCTTTTTCTTTTTTTTTCTTCTTCTTCTTTTTCTTAGGTTAGTCTTTGTCGTCGTGGTTTTCGTTGCGGTTGAAAATTTTTTGAACATTTTGCATTTTATCTTCGACGATAAAACAATGACACAGAGATAAATAAGAAAATTCGAAAAAAAAAAAGACAAAGATAAAATTACAAAAAAAAAAAAAAAATAAACTAAATAAAAATAAAATAACGTTTAATATTCGAACGTGTGATGATTGGTCCCAGCAAAACATTACAAGACCCCAATTAAAAGAGGAGAATCGAATTTAACCGAGAATTTACCTCTTATCGGATCATCAAAGATACACGATACGGTAATTAACGTTACTCCCCAATCAACGATCGATAAGATATTCACCTATTTGTTCCTTCGCTCATTAATGAACAATTATATCGGCAATCAACGTTACATCCCGAATAAAGGCATAATTATTCCTTCGAAATCACGACATCGATCTGTATTTTATAAAAGAAACAAAAAAGGAACGAAATAAGTCTATTCTAATGGTTCAACGTTTTAGCCAATCGAATGAGTCTACTTGATAGCTCATTAAAGACACGATTAGAACTTTAATATAGTTTGATGATGATAAAAAAGAGAGAGAGAGAGAGAGAGAGACTGAAATAAAGAAAGAAATGTAAAAAAAGAAAAAGAGAAAAAAATATATATATAAAAATCTTTCTTCGACGAAAAGATGTTCATGACATCGAAGAATCTTGTTAGCAGAGAAAATAATGAGAAATAATCTATTAAAAAAAGATTAAAAAAAAAAAAGAAGAAGAAGAAGAAGAAAAGAAATAATTACATCATATCGATTACTTTCAAAAACGAGCGTTACAAATCATGCACAAAAGTTTTATAATACACGTGTTTTTACTTGAATAAATTCAAAACTAAAGTATTTAAGTGACGTATAAATAAAAAGGGGATGACGACGTTTCTTGAATAACTCACAATAAACGATGACAATTATTGAAATGAATTCGAAGAAACAAAAAGGAGAAAAACGAAGAAGAATACATATATATATATTTTTTCTTTTTATCACGTTCAATTGAAGGAAATTGATAACTGTATCAATGTATACATCGCTTACATAATGTAAATATAATTTAGTAGAATAAAAAAAAAAAAAGAGGTACCAATAAAGTATGTAAGAGAATATTAATGGTTCGTCGATGTTACAAGATGAATAAGACCCGTACTCGTAAATGCAACGACCACTGATCTCAATTCTTACAAGCGTGAACTCTATGTACCGAACATATTTCAGCCGCCAACGCCTCCTCCCTGGTACGAAATACACGATGTTACTCTCCCTCTCTCTCACTTGGGCCAAAAGGGGGATGGGTTCGTTGAACCGAATATTTCGATGTAGAGAGAGAGAAAGAGACCACTTTCTTTCTCTGTCTCTTTTTTCTCTTTCTCTTTCTCTCTCTCTCTCTCTCTTTCTCTCTTTACGATAATCGCTCTTGTATTTTATCGTCGAGCTTACTGAGTCGCTCCTGCGTTTTACATCCGCCGAAATCGAATCGATGCTTCCTCCACTTCAATGTTTCAACGAAGCGGAAGCTAATATATGTATCTATGTAAACTGTATATGTATATGTATATATGTATATGTTTAAATAAATGCATATATATATGTATCATGTTGAAGTTATAAAACGAGCCGTTTATATCAACGCGCGCACTTCTTGCCCCTGATGGATTATTTTATTTTTAATCCAAATCCCTTTTCACATCCTTTTCATATTTTTTGTTTTCTTTGTTTCTATTTTTTTTTTTTCGATTAATTTCAATAAAATCTATCTCGAATAATCAACGAATAATACGATCTGATAATAATCTAAGTTAAATTCGTTCGATCGGTTTTTATGTTAAATACAATTTTTTTTTTTTTTTACATATTTTTACATATAATTAATGTAGAAATTTTCAAAACGTACGAGAGTAACATTCTGAATAAATAAGTAAGAATTTCATTTTTCTTCATAGCAACAACACGTGTATTATTCGCGATTTTCTTTTTTCTTTTGGAGGAAATATTTTTGAAACCGTTGTAAGGGATTCTCAGTTAACTCGAGCGAAATCGTAGTATTCGTTTTGTTCGGGTTGAAAATAAGGGTACAATCTCTCCCCCATCTATTCGCTTATTAAACCAGCCTGGTAATTTAAAGACGAAGACTGTATATTTCTTTTCTACCTCTATCTCTCTTTCTCTCTTTTTTCTTTTTTTTTTTTTGCTAACCCACCTTTCAGCATTCGCAATCTTTCCGTACCAGGTGCGTCAAAAATTTACCCACTTTCTCAAGGAGAGTTTCTAGATTAATAATATTTATAATACGAGGAGAGTTCGGTAAAAGAATTGTTGCATTTTTCCCTCGAGCGTGAATCTAAGAAGGGAATGAATTCCGTTTCGTTAAAAAATGTAACATTCAAACAAACAAACAAACAAACAAAAAATAAAATAAATAAAAGAAAGAAAAATAAAAGAGAGAAAGAGAAAGAGAAAGAGAAAGAGAAAGAGAACTCCTGCCACCGGGAAATAAAAATTATATTTACAATAGCGTTAGGTTTGTTCTTCTTTTTTTTTTTATATATATATATTTTGATTTATTTTTTTAAATAAACAACAATGAGTAGTAGTACTGTATAGAATACAATACTTCGTTATTATTATTTTCAAATATTTATGTTAACGAAAAAAAAAATAAAAATAAAAATAATAAAAATAAAACAAAAAGATCAAATTGTACGTCACGTTGTACAACGTGAAATACGCCCTCCGTTGCACGCGCGTATGTATACACAACAACGCAGTATCTACATATTATTTTACATTTGTAAAAGAAAAAAAAAACAAAACAAAAAAGAAAAACAGAAACAAAAAAATAAAATATGAAAAGAGAGAGAGAGAGAGAGAGAGGGAGAGAGGAGACAAGAAAAAGTAAAAACAACCCCTGCGCGTACAGGAATACTTTTTTGTCTCTCGTTGGTGCATAAAATAAATCCGTATTATATTATATCCATCTCGCGAATATATCTAACAAAATGAAAATAACGTGTGGAATAGCATCGAAATCTATTTCGCGACACGAAAGGATAGATAATTCGTCTCGATGAAGATTTATCCCAAAGGAAGTTGGCCCGAGGGAGAGAAGAAAAAAAAAAGCTGACCCGTTCGTTTTGAAATTTTTTAGAATATATAATAAAAAATAAAAAAATAAAAAATAACAAAAAAATACTCCCCGGAAAAAGAATCGGCCTCGATGAAAGGAAGAGACGAATAGCAATGCGACACAATGAAAGAAGGAAGAAATTTTCTTTTTTTCACATTACTCTCTCTCTCTCTCTCTTTCACTCTACATATATAATATATATATCTCTTTCTTTCTGAAATTTTTTTCCTTAGAAGGAAGAAGCTCGTTCTTCCCGCAATATTTTCTTTTTTCTTTTTATCACCACCTCCTTTTCTTCTATCACGTTTTTTTTCTTCTTCTTTTTTTTATTCTCTTTCTCCATTTTTTCCCCTTCTCGCATTTCTCGAAAGGAAGAAATCCAGGTAGTGTCACATGTCACCGTGCTTGCTCGTTATTTGACAGAAGAAATGATGGCAAACGCAGCTGTGTAAAAGTGTAGTCTGAAAAATGCTACGATATCGAGAAAGTATCCGGGTAGGAAGTACGAGTAGTAGTCAGGATCGAAAACTCGCGTATCTCTCTCTTTCTCTTTCTTTCTAGCTCTTTCTATATCTATCTATCTTTCCCTTATACCCTCCTCTCTCTCTTTCTTTCTCACTCTTCCTCTTTCGTACTCTCCCTCTATACTCGAGACCTATACCTCCTCGTCGACGTGGTGGACTCGACGTCGTTGGCAGCCTCAGTCGTCCGCGAACCTTCATCGAAGAACGTTCCTCGTAATAATTCACATTAAATATACATATATACGCATGAACTATGATAACTAATCGAAAACAAAAAATGTTCTAATTCGACAAAAAAAAAATGTCTCGAAAAATGTGAACAAACGTATGGAATTGTTGTTTTCCAATATCAAGAAAAACATTTTTTATTTTTACTTTCATTCGTTAAGTGCACGCACACCAACAAAAAATACGATCGTTCGTTTATAAGATAATAATAATAATAATATTATTATTATTATATAAATAAATAGAATATCGAATTAACGAGAAATCTATTTGATAAATTTAAGTTTTCATCGATCTTCGTTTCGATTGAATCAAATTGAATTGAATCGGATTTAATCGAAGGATCAAACGATCGACTGATAGATCGATCGATCATCGATCGTACGAAAGGAAAAAAAAAACAGATCAAAGGTGATATAAACGCGGTTAACTAGTGCTCGATAATGAGGACGATTTCGTATCATCTACGTCTTCGTAACGCTAACGACGATTTTGGTGAATAATTTATCGCGATTTGTAACTCTGACATAAATCATGTGGAAACTTTGGATCCTTCTGCTCTGTGCGACAGGTAAACAAACAAAAATTTAACGTCTAAACGTTTATTCCTTATCTTGAAAAAAAAAGAAAGAACGTATCCTCGTGTTTGTTTCATATTTTTTTTTTTTAATGTATCTTCTTTATAATCAGAACGTTTATTATTAAAATAATCGCGTACACTTGTTAAATGACTCACTTTGGACGAATTTTTCAATATATTCAAATTTTTACTTTAAACCACCAACACCATTTACCACTAGTAAAAAAAAACATAGAAGAAAATCGTCCCGCTAAAAAAAAAAAAAAAAAAAAAATGGAAATAAATCGATAAGCTAGAGCGTTAACGAATTAGCCTTAATTAACAATATTAAACATAGGAGATGGTGTTATCGATGCATACATCTTTGAGGATGGAATGCGAAACCCACATTTGTCTTACGCGTCTTACGAACTAACACACCAGGTAACGATCGTCGCATGCGCGCCAACTATAATATATACACGCGACGTACCAATTAGAGATTTTCAAATTGGTTCGCAACGAGATAACACCACGATGATATCTCGAATCTACGAACGAGAGAATACGCGTGAAGAATATGAAAATGATAAAAACGACGAGAGATATATAAGAGACGTCTCTTTTTCGAATGCACAAAACAAAAAACAAAAAATAGTAAAATAAAAATCATAATCGATTTTATAAAAGGTGTCGACTACGATTAAGAGAGAAAAAAAAAAAAAAAAAGACATATGGATAAATTCTTCCAGCAAATAACTTCGAAGGCTGAAATGAGATTAAAAAAAAAAATTAAAAAATTACAAAAAAATTCAACGCGAGATGCAATTAACTCGTACGACTTTTTTTTCTTTTTTTCATTTTTTTTTTTTCATTCTACTAACTGTAGGAAAGAAAATAATTGCGATATTATACCGATTATACGCCTCTAAATAAATTCAAATCTGTCGTGTTTGACGCGTGTGTAATCGATTGCTAACAAGTACAATTCTTCATAGCAAACAACCTTGACCATTTCTCCCGCCGCGTTGTCCTTCGCCTATGAACAATTTTTATATTAATGTCCTGTATCGTTATAGCTTTCAAAAACAAAAACAACAAACAAAAAACGATAATGGAGTGATACGAATAAGGTTTTACTTGTAAATCATTTAACAATTTTCAAATCTTAACACTTAAGAAGAATGTTGGTTCTTTATAAATAGAAAATTAATAAGTTATCGATACGATCTTCGAACTAATATCAAGAGAGAGAGAGAGAGAGAGAAAGAGAGAAGAAGTTGTATCTATGTGAAAATGATCTATAGTACCAAGTCCGACGTATGCTGGACGTGTTAATTGCTCAAGCGATTGTCAGGTAACTCGATAGAGAAACACCAGCCTTGCAAACTAGATGCTATCGGTAAATGATCCAGTAATCGAATTATGTTGTTACTCTATCCCCCAAAGCACCAGAACACGAGAGTGCAAGTGTATATATGTGTGTATGAAAGAAAGAGAGAGAGAGAGAGAGAGAGAGAGAGAGAGAGAGAGATGAATAGGTGCAAGGCTTTAGAGCCAACCGGCTAAGATCTATTTTCGCCTGTTCAGAATTCGTTCGCGAAGATAGGGCGAATAAGAGAAAAAGAAAGAGAAAGAGAAAGACAGAGATAGAGATAGAAGATAGCAAATAGTGCTAGGCACATACTATCAAGCCAGATTCAAATTTATTTCACTCTTCTTTTTCACTTGCATGTCCGCGAGAAAAGGTACGATAAATTGTCAAAGACAAGAACAAACCATGGTTATTCTCTCTCTCTCTCTCTCTCTCTCTCTCTCTCTCTCTCTTTCTTTCTTTCTTTCTCTTTTGCACAACTTATGTAATAACGTTTTTCTTATCCTCTTATCACATAAACGTTTCAGTCAGATACGAAAAGACACCGAATTAGCTTATCGTTGAATCTCTCTAATATATGCTTTAAGAATTTTTATGAGCCTAGAAGAAATGATGACTGGCAAGAATCCGGTCCTTTTCTTTCTTTCTTTTTTTTATTTTTATTTTTTATGCTTTTCTTTCTCTGGAACGACGATCTTCAAGGATAAACTTTATCGTTGCACTTCGAATCTCCTCTCTTACGAAGAAGGAGGAGGAGGAGGAGATAAACGGGCGACATCTTTCATTTACTATTGTTTTTTTTTTTTTAGAAATAAAAATAAAAATCATTTGGAATAATGTATTAGAAATGTGAATAAGATTAAATTTATAGTTAAATTTAAATTATATGTATATTATGAATTCAGATATCCATGAAATATGTTTCGTACGTTTACATTTTCAAAATATACACATTTCTAGATAAGTGGAAAGGAATATTTAATTTACGTGCAAAATGTATTAATATTTATGTAATTAAGAAGTAAATGTACTTTGGTGAAATAATCAAGTAGATATTGTTGAACACCAACCAAAAGTTCGTGAATGAGTCATGCGCGAAATTGAACCTTGTTACAATACAGATCTCGCGAGTTTGCCTTGTAACACATACCATATATTATTTACATTATGAATGAAAGTAGGAACATTTGGTGGGTGGATCTAACAACCTGTTTTTTCATTATTAAATAAACGTCAGTTAGGGAAAACGTAGAAATAATAGATTTGTTTTTCAACTTGACGTGAAAATTCGGAAAATATTTCGAAGTTTGAAGAAAAATTAGGTCGATTAACGTCATAGTTACCAGTAGAAAAAGAATTATCGATAATTTACCGTCGTTTTATCAATACGAACTCGCTAATTTCTACGTAACTCGCGACTTGCTCTATTACTCACGAATTATGTTCTGAAAAACCATTTACGCAGCATGTTCTTTTGCATATCTGTTTCTATATTAATCTAACCGTATTTATAGAGTGAGTCAACGATTCCTGTCATTCATCATAATCATCTATTTACCAAATTAAGATAAAATATAATTTATATAACATCGTTAATATATATACTTCAGATGATTCACAATCGATTATTCTACTCCAAGAAAAAAATTAAAAAATACAAAAGTAAATTGATAAAGAAAAATATAATTTGAGTAAAACAATATTTGACTCGACCTGTATTGCTAATATTCTACGTACACTTTTACTAATAATAATGCGAAGCAAACAAAAAAATAGATAAAATCGAAAGCAAACCGATAAAGTCTTCGAACGTTGGTAATAAACTTTCTTCTATTTTTTTTTTCTTTCTTTCTCTTCTTATCTTAGAAACGAATGATAGAAAATAAAATTATGATCGATATATTAGATTGGATAAATACGAATACTCGTTTTAAAAGCCTCTCTTTCTTCCAACTTTGAAATATAATAAATGGAACAGGGTGTCGTTATAAAACGATAGTGATCATTCGATGCATCGAAAATGGTATAGTATATCTGCAAGCTTTCGTTTTCTCTCTCTCTCTTACTCTGTTTCTCTATCGAACTCAAACTTGTTTATAGAAAATGGATCTTTCGAAAGGTAGCATCGGTGGTACGATTTAAAGTGTAAAGGTGATATCCTATCTTATTGATGCACGGATGATATCGTTTTCCCAAACGAACGATCCTCGGCCAAATACTAAAACGGAATAGAACTCCCATAGTACTTACTCTCACGAGTTACGATGCTCCAAACCACGAAACTGGACCATTTCTACAACAGTGAAATTTAATTTACGATAACACGTGACCGCGTATGTCCAATAATTCACGTACTACCTGTGTCGACGTAAATTATTCTGCTACGAGAACTCGAACACGAACTCGAAACGTTTCGACATTGACTCCTATATGCCGAAAAATAAATGAAAACAATTATAAATAGATTTACGATTCTATTAAACTTGAAAATTCATTTGATTTGATATTTTCTTTTTCTTTTTCCTTTTTTTAAAAATAAAATGAAAAAAAATAAATAAATAAATATTATAATACGAAATACGAATGATATTTAATATTTATCGAGATATCTTCGATAAATACACATAAATCTATTTTCAAAGTTTAAAGAGCTTATTATCGAGAACGAATGATTAACAAGTTGAAATTGGTTATACACACAGCACACACAGCACACATACACACACATATGCTAGTATACTACGTAATAGTAGTGGTAGTATCGTATAATGTAGTAAACGTATATGCATACATGTGAAAAAGTTACGTAAATTTTCTTTTTAACGAGCACCGAGAGACTTGACCTATAGGAAAATTTTAAATAAATTCGTCGCAGCATTCGCGGTGTATGTATAAATAATAACAATAAAAAAAAAAAAAATAAAAAAAAAATTTCTATACAAATTTGCATCGAATGCATACGCATCCGTTTATGTCGGCAAACTACCAATAGTTAACGATAGAGATCACGAATGTCATATATAAGAAAACGATAAAAGCTAACGATTTCTTAAGCGATATCGTTTGTTTGTTAAATGTTTTTGAAAAAAAAAAATAAAAATAAAAAAAAATAAAAAAAAAAATAATTCTAACCAAGAAACTAAACATCAATCAACTACTTGGCAAGTTTTAAAGAAATTCCTCGGGTATGTTCTACATTTGAAACAACTCGCCAATTTATTGTCGATTAAATTTAAACTCGTGCAATAATATAAATTATGTAATACAAAACATGAGGTGTGTGTGTGTGTTTTTTTTTTTTTTAAATAAATAATAATTAACCTGGGCATAAACGTGTAATAATACAATTAACAATAATACTTTCAATTATTATCATAAAGGATTTCATTAAAGTTAAAATAATAAAATGTACAAACACCGAATTTACAAATTCAACATATAATTTAGCTTTGACAAATATTATTTCGTAAAATAAGATTATCTCTCGTAGTAGTTCGTTCACACGAGAATATATAATTTTCGGTGTGTTCCCGTCTAGTTTAATAAAACCAAGACAATTTTCTAGAACAATATTGTTTCTCAGAATAAGCATCATTAAATGCATTGAACCGGGTTAAGCACATTCCACCCTACGTGGAAGTTTATTTTCAACTTGGCTCTTCTCTATCGATGGACTGTTCAATTTGTTTCTAAACTTTCTGATATACGATACTTCTTCATCGATCTTCATATCTCTAAAGGATGTTTCGCGTAACTGACGTGAAAGTGGAGGGGGTTTTGAAAGAAAAGTGTCATTGATAACTAATCGAAATTTCGTAATAAGGTCAAGAAAATTACAGATAAGTCATACGGGGAACAAGAAAATGAAAGAGACACAGAGATTAATAGAAAAGGAAAGTTAATGCATTCATAAATACGTATAATATTTGTTTCAAATATATAAAATGAATTGTATGAAATAAGGGCAATCGTCGCAAAGTAATAAAAGATCTTGGTGAACGTGTGAATGTAATAAATAGTCGGTTGTTCTCTGAGAAAATCCCCATTGTCGGTCAATTAGATGAACGGGAATGACATGAACCATGTAACCGCCATAAATTCGTGTTAGAAAATAACCATGTAACTATTCACGAATACCAGAGACTATTAAACACAATAATTCAAAGAATATAATTAATATCGTGTATATAACATAAAATTTCGTGCAATTACGTCGAAATATCGATATAGTCGTTTATAACAATGCAACACCGACTTTACAGATTTATTATATTTATTATTAATTAAATTATTGTAAAAAAAATAACAGAAAAAAGAGAGAGAGAAAAAAATAATCGAGATATATACACGCGAAAAAGAAAATACGTCAAATAACAAAACAAAAAAATAAATCTAACGAACAAGAGTGATTTTCCAAGCAGGATTAATACAAAAATAACGAGTTGGTTGTTTTGTTAAACCCATTCGAGACCAGGACTTTTTTCGAACACGATTCCCACGAGTTAAATTTTATTTTGTTTTGTTCCTTTTTTTTTCTTTTTTTGGTACGCAAGAAAATCAATTCCAAATTTTGTTTAAACATACTTTAAAGATACTATTATTATTATTATTGTTAATTAGCATTAAGAACTCGAAAGTTCATTGCCGGAAATATTAAATCCCGCCAGTGTTCCCGTTCCTGAGTGCGACCCCTCAATTCGCGGTCTTCATAGCCTATTTCCTTAAGATCCCTCCTAATATTGTCTTCCCATCTATGTCTCGGTCTACCCAGTGGTCTTTTCCCGTTCGGTATATACCGATCAGTATTTTATGTACTATTCAATCCTCCCCTATGCGCGCCATGTGACCAGTCCATCTTAATCAGCGTGATTTTACGATGCTGATTGTTGTACACTCAATGTATTTCTACGTTATGGAATTTTCTCTATTCGTCCGTTTCCTCATCCCGTTGTAAACCGAAGATTTTACGAAAAACTTTATTTTAGAAAACCCTGAATTTATTTTCGTCCTTTAATGTAAGTGACCACGTTTCACTACCATAAAGAACTACCGGTATTGATTGTCCTATATATCCTAATTTTGAAGCTCCTAGACAGCAATTGCGCAAGCTGAGTAATTTATTAACCGAATAAAAGTATACATTGCCTAAATTGATTCTTTTCTTAAGTTCTTCGTTAATTTCGTTCGTCTGATTTATAATTGATCCTAAATACCTAAAATTGCTGACCCGTTTAAAAATGTTATCCCTGATGCGTGATAAATCCTCATTTATTATCCCTGAATAATGATAATTCCTCATTATTATTGTTGCACGCACGGTGTGCAACCGGTCTTACTGACACAAAAAGTAATTCAACACAAAATGATCATATGATCTTCCATTAAATATCGTCATCATGTAAGAGAAAATTGATTCTCAAACATTAGCCCGCATTTGTTAGAACGATCGACAAATATATCCTTTCGTAATAACATAGGCGTTTACGTCTATTCAACCATGAAACAGACACATGTACATATGTATAGATATAAGTACTTACGTAATCTTTGAAAATTCAAGGATACAATTGAAAAATGTAATCTTTTAGAACGGCCGTGTTCTAACCTTGTATCTAAATACACATAATACATGTATATATAGTCTGAATGAAATTCAAATCAAATGATGTATTGCTTTCAATTCGATGCCATATGTTGGATTTCGCTAGACTTTGAAATTAATTAAACCGAGCATTAATTGAAAAGCAGAGAGAACCCGAACGCGCAAATAACTGCGAGAAATGCTTTCAAACTGTGCAACTAGAAATTCATTAAACAGACTTCAAAGATGAATTCTACGTATTAACAAAAGATTAGAAATAAAATACGCGTAGCGTATAATTCGTAAGCGTGTTAGACGTTAATAAATAATAATATATCGTATAATATTTTATGAATAAATTACGAATGAAATATTTCAAATTAATGAAACAAGAATTGTTCATTTATTTTTAACAGGGATATCCTCGACCTTGGTAGATCCTCACAGTTTCGGTATAACCATTTCACCAAAAAATCAAGACAGACCAAATCGACAACACCAACGGATCAAACGATTCGCCTGCCCAATAGGATTTTTTCGATTGAAAAGATTTTGCTATTACTTGAGCGCAGGTACTGCACCCTGGAGAGAAGCGCACTTTCATTGCAAGGACAGAAATGCAACTTTGGCGGTACTCGATAGAAATGGGAAAGATAGAATGTTAAGGAAATACCTGATGGGTGATCAATTTAGTAAGCATAACATATATACTTGTATATATATATATGCACGTACGCGTGACTATACAACCACTAAAACCCAAAACGTTAAAATAAAATTTCTTAATTAGCAAAATCGTAATTGCTCGTTAACCCTTCCTAACGAAGATGAAATTTATTTTTAGCAAAATTGGAACGATGGATAGGTGGAATTTATAACTGGCAACAGATGGCTTGGGAGTGGGGTGTTACCGGCGAGAAAATGGTTTTTCAGAGCTTTGGTAAAATAAATCCCGGCAAGTCTGAACAATACGCCTGGCATTGCATTGTATTGGACCCTTCTTTGAAATATAAATGGAACGCCAAAAGTTGTGTGCAACCGAAGCATTATATTTGTGAAGTACCAGCCGGTAGAATAGGTGAAAATATATTAATATTTCTCTTAATATAACATCAAATTAACATGTATTGTTTAATTAACATTGTTCGATGATTCATTTTAAAAATACTTTTTATAAAATTACAGCCAGAAGACGTAAAAAGACGGCCGATCCTTTTGCACCGCAATACCAAAGATTAAAGCCGCGTAAACAAGGGAAAAAATATCTCGGCGAGTTTCAGAGGCAAAATAATAGACGAAAAAAAAATCTGACTGATTGGACCAGAGATTGGACCGAACAAAACGCGAATCAACAATGGGCTCATGGCGTGAATCCTGGCTCGAGGCCACCTATCAGGTAAATCAACTTAAATAATGCGATTATAAAAGAAAAAAGAAATATATCCCTTCTTTTTCTTCTAATTTATCTTACTCGTTAATAAAAGAAAAAGAAAAATAACAACAAAAAATGTGGACTCATTTTTTTTTTTCTGTAATTCATATTTCAGACTGAGAAATTCGAAGGAAAAAATGCGACATCATTCTAATAAGACGATTTCTAGTGCGACTGCGCCGAAAGTCGCACAAATTTTATCTCAAAAGCAAGAATACGGTGCTTTTATGGGAGATGGACCGAGCAATGGGGGACATAATCAGCCGCAATCATTATCAAATGTAAACGACGTATTATCTCAATTCCAAGCGAAAATCAATGATTTTGCTCGAGAGGAGGTTTTGCTTAAAGTTTAAAAAAATGTAATCCAATTTACACCACCGAGTCTCATCGACTTCTCGTAATGCCATTTTTTGTCTTTTCTCTTTATTTCTTTCTCTCTCTCTCTCTCTCTCTCTCTCTCTTTTCTATCTTTTTAGTAAACGATTTTCCTCATTTTTTAGTATTTTTTTGTTTTTTTTTAGATTAGGAAACAAATATTTGAGAAATCTCTCGAGGCTACAGACTGAGATAATTTATTTAATTGAAAATGAAAAGCCGATTCCTCCATAGTTCCTTTTCTCTCCTTCTCTTTCTCTATCTTTCTAAACTTTATTAATAGCTAAATCGAACGTTGCGATAAACGATTTAATTGTAGAACAATGATATAAGCAAAAGAACAACAATTACATAAAAATATATATACAAACTATATATAATATCTGTTAGAATCTAATTGTAATTCGTTCTCTCTTAAACAGCATTATATATGTTTTTCAAAATATGTATCCGAAGATAAAATAATCGCCTATTTAAAATCTTTCCAAATTTGAAAAAAAAAAAAAAAAAAAAAAAAAAAAAAAAACAAGTAAAAATATAATTATTATAATAAACTCAAGTTCGAAATTACGAGTATTAAACCCTTGTACTACAACATATCAAATTATATTTCTTCGCTATTAACGAAAGCTTCGAAAAAAAAAAAAAAAAGAAAAGAAAAAAAAAACATGAAAATTTGTAATGTATCAATGTTATATAGAAGTTCATGTTATTGAAACAATTATTTGATTTACTTTAGTAATTAAATATTACTGCTAGTTGAAATTCTTAGTTTTAACACGTTATACATACTTATACATATATATATAATTCTATTGAAATAATGTTACTTTTACACTGCTTTATCTGTAAATATGTAGAACCGCAATCGTCTGCCTCAAACATTGTACGTTTAACGTCTCATGTTATAATTACAAATAATAACGAAAATAAAAAAACATTTAATCGAACATTAAAAGAACTTTAAGCACTTACCTTGATATACGTACAAAGAGCATCACCCTTCAATTCCCCATTGGAATCCCTATACAATTTGATTTTGTCTTTGTTTTTCTCATCCCTCGCAATGAGACCACATTTGTTGAACAGTTCTGTAATTTCCTCCATAGTGATGTCCAAAGGTAATCCAGAAACGTAAATAGCAGTATTGTGGCGTTCATCTATCTCGAACCAAGTCGGTGGCTCCTGAGATTTTCTTTTGGCTTCTGCTTTTTTCTGTTCCTTCGTCAACTTTGGTTGAGGAGGTGGAAGTTTTACAGACTTTTCTGGTAACTTTTTCGATGATTCTGTTGCATTTGGATCGACAAATCCGTAGCTCATTTGATATCTAGCCATAAAATCTTCATCCACCTAAGATCAAATTTAAAGATTAAAAATTAGATTTGAAATTTACATTTTGTATTTAATAAAATTCAGTATAAGTATATTTACTTTTGGAAACCATGCATTCTTCTCTCGATCCCAAATATAAACGCTACCATCGTTAGGGTCTGTATATGTGTGAGTATCATTTTCAAAACCATAGACTCCACCTGGTGCAGCTACTGCTGGTCCACTGGCTTTCTCTTTATTTTCATCATCTTTAACATCTTCGGTTTGTTCATTGTTTTCAGGCACCCACTGATTTTTCACTTGATCAAACTTATATTTCACATTAGTTGTTTTATCAACATATACATAATGTTCTCCATCGAATTCGTATTGATTAGGATTATTTGAAGTCAATTCTTCTGTTTTTTTCGACTCCGGAGAATCACTCATTTTAATAAATTAAATTCTTTCCTATCGAATAAAAATTGCAATTAATGTAAAACAACGTCACTAATCTCGATTACGATTAAAATGACAAATATTAAAAATTATATAGCATACATTGTGTTATAAATTGAGGTTAGAAATTAACATTGAGAGGTTAGAAGGAATAATATTAAATATAACGCAAAATTAACTTACCGAATGTAATACTTTTATTATTCTTTAATAAAAAAAATGTCGTATATTTCACCAAAAATGATTATTCTTCGTTGATAAAATTTTCTTCAAACAAAGTGATAATTAAACGTATACATGAACTTGACAGTGTGATTCTTACAAGCTTTCTAAAGTTCAAACTAGCGCACTCTACAGATTGTCTAAACAATCTTCACATAGTACTATGTCGATAATGTAGATTTCCAATAATCACTATATCACTATTGTCACGAATCTAACATAGGACAGATATTCTTTTTCAAAATGAGAACAAATAAATTGATTAGGTAAATACCTAAATACACTTTTAAAGAAGACGTATTTATCGTTCACGAACTCTGGAATATGTTTTCTATTCGACGATAAATGAAAGATTGACTGAATAATCCTTGAAAGTACAATCTATAGATAATAACAACAGACTGCATATGTAAATATTTAAACCAATGTTTATGTTTCTACACGTCTTACATTTATTTTCCAAAAATTAAGACAAAACGTAAGGGATTTATTTAAAATTATCTGAAAAGAAATAAATTAAGATAAAATATTAATTACTATAATAAACTTGGGATCTAACATTTTTAAATAAAAGCGACATGCAAACATCTTATTAACTTAGGCCTGAAAAAATAAATGCTTAGAATGTAATTAATACAAGACTTTTTTAAAAAATAATTTACTACAAAGATTTTATTTCATTTACATATATCGATGAATTAATGATGTTACAAAAATAGAAAATATTAAATGACGATATTAATTTAAAATATACAATTTTGCAATATTAAATGCATACAACAGATATGATCCTAGATCAAATAGATAATACTGACAAATTACATGTAAACCGTTGATATAACTGTACATTCAACTCCAGTAAAGTAGACACCAAACAAGATACGATTCACAATCATTGGAAAATCATAATCCCCGCATAAACCTTTCTTATTATAGATCATTTCCTGTTTAAACCATTATGCTCTGGTAATACTTGCTTCCGTGCTCATTTCGACAAGTGATTGAATCGATAATCGAGAGAATCAGCTTTCGAAGATTAAAGGAAAAATCTGTGTCAGTTATCACGAAATCCCAACCAGTTATGATAGCAAATAAATCAGCTGATATATTTTTATTTTTAAACAAGATTCTAAAATTAAAAAAAAAAAAATTAAAAATTCATTGATGTATTATTGATATAAAATATATTAATGAAATTTCGAATAATTGATAAACTAATCAAAAAGAGCATAATCATCTTCATCAGAATATATCGTAAGCTTTACTGAAAACAATAATATACTTATGAAGATAAATTTATCATCAATTTGTCATTATCAATCGAGAATACTTGGAATGGTAGATTGTTTTATAACGATAAGAAGTAATATAATTTATGAAATCATGTAATGCCTAGTTCATATTATGTTTATCTTGAACAATACCTAGAAATAGTTCAATTTTAGTATTGACATTATTTTAAAATAATTGATTTTATTTACTACTGGCTCTTTTTTGAAATTTTATGAAGAATCCTTCTACTTTAGTCAGCTGCAAGTTACAAACGTTTGAAAAAACTTGTAAGTGAGTGATATTTGTTAACAATTAAAATAACATGAATCATTTTAACAGAAAGTTTACTTGAAAAATGTAGTTTTATTTACATACATCTGTCAATAAATGTAGAAAAATACAACAAATAAAATTAAATAATGATATTAATTTTAAATATACAAATGTTTAATATTAAACACGTGCAACTGCTTTAATCCAGGATCGAATTGATTGTGCTGATAATTTCGTGTTAATATTTGGTGAAACGGTGCACCCGTGTCCTGTAGAAAATATGCCAATCAAGGTGCCATTTGCTACCAATGGATAACCAGAACTTGAACATAAGCCTTTCTTATATTTTTCATATCCTGTGCAAACCATTATGTTCTGGTTAAACTTATTTCCATATTCTTGTCGACAAAATGACGGTTCAATAATCGGCAGAACCATTTTACGAAGAGTAGAAGAAAAAGATGGACCACTATTCGAAACATAACCCCAACCAGTAATAACAGCTGGTGTACCAGATGTTACATTCTTATTTTCTTGTATTATCGGAATAGGTCTGACAGTTTTTCCATAAACGAAAGGTGTAGTCAAATTTAATAAAGCGACATCATATTCGGAACTAGTTCTATTATATTTTGGATGTACGACGAAATTGTAAACTTTATAAACAGCACCACCACTTTGAGTTTGGTTACTTCCAGCTCGAAGATTTATCATCTGAGGAATTTTCCATTGCAAACAGTAAGCTGATGTGATGGCCCATTTTGGAGCAATTATAGTAGCACCGCATACATCGTTACGACCAAAATAAATACTTAATTGATAAGGATAATTATTTATAGAAGCAACATCGCTACCAACAAATCTTGGATTTAACGAATTCACTTCGTAGGATCCTTAAATCAAACAGAATGAAAGATAAACTAAAATATCCTATGGAATTAGGATTTATGAATAAACTTTGATAACTTACCGAAGAAGAGTATAATCGATAAACTAAGGAAATAATTCACAACCATTTTGACCCGAGTATATTTAAGCGTTTAAAAGACATGACGATATTTATAAGCAAATTTATCATCGATTAATCATTATCAATTGAAAATACTTGGAATGTTAGATTGTTTTATCACAATAAACATCATTATTTAATCTTTGCTCAGACTATGCTTATCATGTACAATGTTAATTGAACTTCAGTATTGTTATCATTCTAAAATATAAAAATCTTAAAAATTTGTATTTAAGAGAACATATTTTACGAATTTAATTGATATAAATCTTTTATTTCATATTAATTTAAAATATACAACTTAGTATTACTAAACACGTGCGACAAAAGTGATTCAGGATCGAATAGATGTTGCTTACAACTTCGTGTAAACTGTTGATGTACGTGGCAATGCACTCATATATCAAAGATAATAAACAATTATTCAGTAAAAATAAGTGGTTATATTTGTTAACATATCATAAACATAATTGAAGTTATACTTATCACAAACAATGTCTTGAAAAAGTTCATCATAAGCGATGATATCGTACTGAAAGATACTTAACTTGGCTCTTTATTGATTACTATCTAAAACTTTAATCGAAGATTATTATTCGATTCCTAAACAATATCTAATCATTATTAATGATCATACATTTTCAATACTCTTACAACGTAATCTCTATTATAACGAATTTCGAAATAAACGTTTTCCGTGAGGATTTGAAAAAGTTCAAGCTTTCCCGCCACATTCTTAGAAAGATCATTTTAAAAGCGCACGACCCGCAGACGATCGAACAACGACGATCGTTCCCATTATTCTTATCGTAAAGGAACGCTACGTGGGGCCCGGTTGCCATTGGAAATTGATTTCCGGTTGCCAAGCAACGTTCACTTAAAGTTGCCTACCACGCTTAGCCATGCCTGACCGGTGGTTTAGTCAGCTGCAGGTTGCGCGCCATCAAGGTGCAAGTAAACCATGGGTCTGCCAGACATTGAAAATATACCTGGTAATAAAATATTATTTATCTCCACGTATATTGCACCAATTAACGATGTATCAAATAATCCACACAAAAAAGTAATTCCTTTAGCACATGCAAACGCACGAATAGTTAAGTAAATTGTAAGACATGGCAAAAGGAGAACAAACGATCGGGCGCGAAAAAATTTCATGGTTTGCAAAGGAATCCCAAAGCTTTCGTAAGAAAAAAATATATTCAACCCTATCGTCTTTTCTCGCACAACATATTCGGATAATAATCCGAAGTCGATTGAAAATAATACTAATCGTTGATTTTTACGAGCCAAGCTGCAGCTAAAACGCGCGTGCACGGTTTATAAAGAAAGGTAACGCTTCATGTTTTCCAGTAATGCGAAGTTACGATGTCTGATATTGGAATATGTTTAGATTTTTCGATTACTATATTCTTTCTACTGCTATACTATCTTATTACAGTATTTTATTTACAATAATTGAACACAAGATAACACCGTTGTTTATTATTTCTTTTTTCCAAGAACTTAATAATTTAATAAACTCGTTATATTATATATTAATATAAGGAAGTTGTGTGTCTTTGTGCACACATATTCTAGTGTATAACAAACGCGTGAAACTAAATTGTCAAGCTAATCGATCGAATGTAGCAGCAAAGTGCGAATGTCTAGCTCACTTATTCAAGGTTCGATCCTTTTCTACGATGCACATATTTTTCAATGCATTACATTAAACAGAACGTGTCAAGAACCAGTAAAGGGTCAATGGTCTACAAGAGTAATGTATTCATAGTTTGAAAATAAACGACATATTGCTTTACGTTTATTTATTAATAATAAAATATAAAATATTATACTTTACGACAGAAAATTATTCGAAATGTTTCAAATGTTTTAAATGCAACAACAACAACAAAATCAATTTAACAATAAATCAACATCAGCTAGTGGCTTGTGCATTCGCATTTTCTTTGAAATAAATTACTTCAAATTAGATTATATCAAATAATCATAAAATAAAACAAATCATTAACCTCAAATGTTAGTTCAGTTCCATGAATAAAAATCAGTAACACAAATTATATTCACGATGATATCGAAATAATAAATTGGCCATCGTGTATCTGAAAATTCGCATAACAAAACTACCCTTTAATGTATTTCGCATTAGGAACAACGTCCCACTTTCCTACATATTTTCCGTTTAACTTGTTCTTTAAATTTCTCTAAGAACAACTCGTGTAACAAATGTGATGCTTTCCGTACCGTTGGTAATCTGTGGTTTCATAAATTTTCCTTGGTTAAGAAAGAAAGGTTTACACCTATTTAAATTTTACCTAAGATGACGTGACCTCAGTCTAACCGTTGAAAACTTCTTTACAAAGGTGTATAAAACATTGCTCACCTAAGGGTGCCATTAAAAGAAAGCTAGCATTAACATACTTTCGAGGTGAACCAAAAAAAGAAGCAAGCACATATATCCATAAAGCCGGTTAACCGGAACTAGAAAGATGGTAGATTTTACTCTCTACTTTTGAAACATTCACGTGTTAACGCTTTTCCGTCATTATAACATCTAAATTTACGCTACTTTTTTAAAGTTCATACTTAAAAAGTCATTTAAAAATTCGATGCGTTGCTACGGAAGCTCATGAAATTGTGAAACTTGATGTTGCGTAAAGGGAAAAAGGATAAAACTATTTATTTGGTATGAAATAGTACAGCATCCTGTTAGACTATAACTCTTTCATGTTTATCTCGCGAATTTTCAATCCATAAGATAAGTACAGGATGAATAATGCAAAGGGCTGCCGTTTGAACTTTTGATAAGCAAAACGTAATCGTAAATCGTACAGAGGAGGATTTACGTTGGGTACCGCATCACTGACCTTTATAAACCAAGAAACTGGAATACACCTTGCATCTTGATGCATAGCCAACAACTGGTTTTCATACTAGCTTCTTACCTCCTACTACTATTTCAAAATTTATTCTCTAACATTCACTTCAATTTATATTCACCAAATATAGAAGGATCGAAATTGTCCTAACGACGATTACAAATTTTCATTTCTAAAGTATTTCAAAAGTATACCTTTTATCGTCTTGTTGATGAACAACTGCCACAAGTGGTTCCACGTGTACGTAGATACAGTACGAAAAATCTATAAGCTTTCTACGTGTCTTGAATACCTTGCATAAACTCAGACCAAACTTCTAATAGTCTAGTCGAAAATTCAATCTTGATTTCTCCTTCTGTTCGTGTTAAAACTCGATTGTAGAGTTTTGAAGAATTGTATTTGTTAAAAAATTCTCTTTTATTCCAATACATGTAAAAAACAAGAGGTTTTTTTTTTTACTGTTGAGTAATTTGAAACAATTGGCATAATCTACCTCATTTGAAACTTACATTTCATTAGAATCGTGCAATAAATAACTGGAACTTAATAAGCGTACGATTTAACAAGCCAACACGAACGTTAATGCAATTCTAACGCATATGAGAAGAAAATTATGAGAAGAAAATTGATTATTATTAATAACACCAATGTAAATTAATCGTAGTGATTGTTGAGTGAAAACAATAAAGGCCTGTATTTCTCGATTTACATTTTAAACTCTACTTTTGCTTTCGTGCCAGACGTAAAAGAAAATACTGATGAATTCACGATAAGAAGTTATCATGATAGACCCTTAAAAAATCACAAGTAAATCAGCAAGTTCCTTGCTTTCATTTGTGCTTAACGTGATATCACAGATAATTTGTACGATAAAATTGACCATCATTGGGGAGGTCAGAGAGCGTTTGAACTTTTTAAGCATAGTGAAATCTCCGCTTCTTTTTTACTCGTAAGATAAAGAAAGAAAAAAAAAAAGACTGTGTAAAGAATAAGAACGAAATGATTAGTTATTTCGTTCTAATTCCATATACATATATATAATATATAATGATTATATTTCGTTTCTACCTTGAAGAAAATAAATATAAATTGAGTCTTTTCATTGTTCGTAATGGAAAGTTTTTAATCCTACTTAATACTTCATCATTTTAATGTGGATTTTAATGAAAGTTTTTAATCTTACCTAATACTCCATCATTTTAATTATGATTAATTATTCTTACCGATAACACCATGCCAAAACGATATTTATAACATTTCGAAAATACGACTACAACAGAGTTGTAATTAAATAAAATATCTTGTTAGTCGAAGAAAATAAAACATAGATATTCTTAGAATAAGTTTTACCTTCCCCTTAGATGTATTTAGAAAATTTAATCTAAGAACGTTATCGCACACTTGCTTTTGTGGCACGTTGTTCGAATTAATTATGCAAACAGCGATTAATGATTCCTCTGTTTCGACACTTGGTCGTGTCGGTATAATGGCACGCGTTACACATACATGAATTCAAAACGACCGTGAAAAATGTATTTTTAGACAAAAAACAATTATCGCGTTATGGATCATATATATAACAATTGGTTTCTCCTAACTTTTCATTAAAGAATAATTACATACAAATTACCTACATACAATAACAATTATATAAAATTAACATTTCAAATGAACGTAGATAAATAATAGAAAGAAAAAAAAAATAATTGATGATTTTTAGAAACTGGTGCTGTATTCACGATCGGTAGAAGCAGATTTGCTGATAACATAGCGTCACACTTCTTCATACGTAAGGATCCAGTATTGACTATCACTTGTGGAGATGAACATTCCGCCGTGGTGTGTCGTAAGTATTTTCTTGATGCACATGTATAATAAAATAGGTTGCAACGTTACACATGTCGTTTGTCAGTGGCTCAATGTTTCACTCGATCGAATAAATTTATTATTGAAATAGGAATGGCATACAAACGTCTCTAGTGAATTGCAACTTATCAATGTCTACCATTAAAAAGATCTGAAATTGTTGTCGCATTTGATGGACGATCCCTTGACTAACCACCGACCGTCATTAAAAAAACCTTTTGACAGAAAGAGAGAAAGCTTAACTAAAAGTTAATAGAAGTTAACCGCTAACTAAGTGAAAACTCGCTTAAAGCTTGCAATTAGCATTAAGGCAATAACACAGTGCGATATATTAATCATTGATCATCCATCGTAGATAGTTGTTTGTAGAAGTACTTTATTGATTCGAGCATTAGCGTGGCTTGATTGAAACGGAAATCAATATGTGAATGACTTCGAGCTTAACGTCCATCTGCCCTATACTACACACGTGCGTTTATTTTTTTTAATTCTTCTTTTACTTCTTCTCTTCAATCGTTTTCCAATTCAATCGTCAAAATTTCATTGAAATTTACAATTGAATTAAATCTATTTCTTCAAAATTGTTACACGATTTTCAAATCGTCTATATAGTTATCACTCTTACCGATGGCATCCTAGTAAACACTGACACCGCAAGTTCAGTTGGAGGTATCTCATAATTTCTTTTTTGATTTTATTGTAAATATTTAACGGGGTTAAATGTTGATAGAACCGGGCCGTGTTTAAAATGGGAAGGATCGAAGCTCGCATGATTTACAGCTTCTGCAACATGCCATGCAAGAAACTTACAGTCGAACTATGCTTACATAGGGATAGCCACTGTCCGGTAAATCGATATGGACACGCAACGGTTGTGAGCTCTGCATGACCAGACTCAAAAACATTGTTATTGTTAATAATCTTGCTCGCTCACTCGCTAAGCAAAAGGTACAACCAGAGGATCGATACGGAAATCGTAATTTCACTTCCTTTTCACTGCAGACTGTGTTAGTAGACATTTGGAAATGTTCCAGTTGATTTTTCTTGCTGAAACCTCTCTATATTCCTATTTTACAGTTGTTCTATTATAAACGGAACGGATGTCGTCACTAATGAGTTATACCAAACTGTTCTCAACTCTAAAAGAAACGTTAGATGATAATTAAAAAAGCATAACGGTCAACTAAAGATAGACATGTAAAGGAAAAACCTTGCTGCGTTTTAAATATACCTACAGCTGGCTAGCCACTCTTCTGTCTATAAAAAAAAAAAGACTTCTCTAATCGAAGATCATAGAGTTTATGAACAGAAATGAGAAATAGGATGAAGAAAGTAGTACTATAGTGCTTATAGTTAAGAGTATATAAATGTATAGTTTAATATAAAATTGGATTTCAGAAAGTGGCAGACTGTTCGTATTTGGAAGCAACGATTGGGGTCAATTGGGTCTCGGTCACAAAAACCATGTCAGCAAACCATCTTGCGTGAAAAGTAATACACTTTATTTTAAACCTTTAATACTTTTACCACATTGTTAGATTTTGTTAAGGTCAATTTTATAAGATCTATAAATATTTTCGTGTGTTGCAGTTTTAAAGCCAGAAAAAGTAACACACGTAGCATGTGGAAGAGCACACACCTTAATATGTACAGGTTAGTCTGTAAAAAGAATACAAAAATATATACATATATATTAAAAATGGCAAAGTATGTGCAATAAACGTCATGGGTTAACACTTAGAAATATTACATAGTTAAAGGAAACATGAATGGTAATTTATTCGTTTACGTGTTCAAACTATTTTTATATGACAAGACTAATTATTCTTTTTTATTAAGCTGATAAGTATGACGTACGCATTCGCGGTATTTTTCATATTGATTTTCATTTAAATTAGGATAGAAAATATTTTCTTGATTATTTTATTTCTCGTGTTATAACTTTACATCATTTTCTCTTAGGTGGACAAAAGATATTTGCTTGTGGAAGTGATCAGGAAGGACAACTGGGTCGCGGAAACTCAGCGATAGGAGACAGTGCAAGTACACCAGTCTTGGTATACGATTGCGGTCTCGCAGGTCCAAGAGTAGTTCAAATAGCTGCGGGTTCTCATCATTCGATGGCTCTTACCAGTGACGGGGGTGTCATCGCCTGGGGAAGCAATCTCGAGGGACAACTCGGACTATCGGGAATCTCTGGACTGGTAAATAAGCCGACGAAGGTCCCAATTCCCGAACCGGTGAAAGAAATCAGCACAGGATATTATCATTCTGCGTTCTTAACCGGTAACGTATATTCCTTCATCAAGAAGTTCGTTGAAAATTACAATGTCATTTTCGTTGCATATCATGTATCGATGATTCGATACAATAGGTTTGAGTCTCGTCATTATGTGCAATCAATACTACATATATATATATATTACGCGATTATTACTCATCGTATTATTATTCTTGAAAATAATTAGCCTACATTTTCTCTGACCCTGATTTCCATTCATCTAATAATGGATACTGATCAGATGTCGATCAATTGAGATTCCTAGCTTGGACTAATGTATTCTTGGAAGTTTTCTATACTATAGACCATCGTTCAGTTTTATAATAAAAAAAAACTGCCATGTGTTCCCACGCAAAACTATAAACTTATACGTATACATACATATATATACGTATACTGTTCAAGCTCAATGATATTTACAGAAAGCGGTCTCGTTTATGTCTGTGGCGAATCTGAAAGTGGTAAGCTCGGGATCGATGTCAACTTCTCAACTCAAGTCGCGCCGAAGCAAATGCTATTGCCCACTACAGCGATACACATCGCGTGTGGAGGTCATCATACCCTCGTATTAACAGGTATCACATGTTAACCGAAACAATTATAAAAATCGCTTTACCAATTTCATATGTTGTTATCGCTGCTCTACTTACTAAAAAATATAATCTACTTTTCTTCTTCTTATTTTTCTTTTTTTTTTTTTTTATATATCGTTTAGAGAGCGGGAATGTTTATTGCGTTGGAAGCAATGCCAGTGGTCAACTGGGAATGGGGACGAACGTGACCGAAGTTTCAACGCCGAAACTTCTTTCTCGTGATGCTCTAAAGGATCAGTCGATCGTCAAAATTGCTTGCGGGGAAAGTCACAGTGCAGTTCTTACTGGTATAACACACGTATAAATCTGGATGTTTTGATTTATTCAGTTTACTTTCATGATTTTTCTTGTAACGCAGAATCTGGAAAATTGTACACTTGTGGTGACGGTAGACATGGAAAATTGGGCCTCGAGGAAAATGAAAATAACGTTCACGAATTGACATTCGCTGTCAAATATCAAGAACTCTTCATATCGAATGTAAGTTATTTTTAATTCATGTTTTTTTATTCTCATCGCATACATGTTCTTGAATTTTATTAAAACATACGGTTTGTTCTTTCAGGTATCTTGTGGTGGTTGTCACACAATTTTATTAGGAAAAAGACGTGAAACGAATAATCAAACGGAATTAGAATCCGAATCTGTACAGGTAATGTGTATAAAATAAAACAGAAAAATAAATGAAGAGCTTGAAAGTGTTCATTGATTTTTTGACTTTTAGGATCATCAAATTCAAAAAAAGAATCCTTTACCTCCCTTGAAACTTCCTGTAAATAGATTACAAACGGAAAATCATACGGATAAAATGGACGAAGTTGAAAAGGAATCAACAGAGAATGAAAATATTCTTGAAAAGTCTACATTGGAGGAGAGTCATGAAAATAAATTGGACAATGAAAAATTGGATAATAATTCCGAAACACCAAAGGATAATATGAATAATATCGAAAAACCTGAAATACCTATAACGAACGAGGAACCGGAAGAGACACCAAAAATCATGGAAGAGGAAAAGTCAGAAGATACGAGTGAAAAAAAGGACATGGAAAATAATAACGAAGAAGAAACAACAAAGATTAATAATACAAGTAATGTTGATATTGAAAAACCAAGTGAATCAACGACGGTAGATGAAGAATCAAGTAATGTGGAAGAAAAGACAGACGAAACGGCAAAAACGGAAGAACCCAAAATTGAAGATGAAACGAAAACCAGTCCAGAAAAACCAGCATCTCCTGACCCTACGCCACCGCCGAAACCACCTCGACAAAAAGCAGGGAGTCCTCAAGGGTCTGCTGGTGAAACTACCGAATTATCAAATAAGTCTTCGGAGAATGAAGAAAAAAAAGAAGATAGTCAAGAAAACAATTCAAAAACGAACGAAACCAAGGAATCCGAGGAGTCTGTAATAAAATCTATGACAGAAGAAACAAAAAAGGAAGAAGAAAGTCCTGCAAAAGTGTCTATCAGCAGTCACAAATCTCGATCTATGAAATTAAATAACGATATTGAAGAAACTATAATATCAGATGCTAAAAATGTTTTGGATGAAATAAAGGAGACGGAGAAGATTATAAAAAATGAAAAAAATGATGAAGAACACACGCACGATGATGCTGATGTGATACAATCACCAGCACCTAGAACTGGTTTGTAATATATTTTCATTTATATTTTATTATTCTTACGAGTTTCATATTAAATTGTATGATTATTTTAAATTATATCTTTAAGGAAAAATGGCAAAGTTATTTAAAGGTAAGAGACAACAAGAGATAGAGAATGGCACAAAATCAAGCGGAGCTACAAATCCAAAATCAAAGGTACATGTTATATTATTTTCATAGTTTCTTGATATTTTATTAAATATAATTGTCTAATAAATTATATACTGTAATTGTTTTCAGTCGAAAACGTGTACCATCTTGTGATCGAAAAGACTTCAAAGATTTGATTGTAATTTATTCTATTTTTTTATATCAAACCCTCCTACGCAAATATTAAACGCTTGGGGACCAAAGCGGTTAAAATTGAATAATTTTCCAAGTAATCTTGGAACACAACGATGAAGTGTCTTATCACGGAATTTATTATTCATTGTGGCCTTAATATGCATTCCTTTAGGTGTGCGTCATTGTTAAATTGCTTCAACGATGATTCAAAAATTGTACCATAAAAGTGTACCTATAAATAAATTTTCCCATTGTACTTGTATTAAAAGATCATTTTTTTATAATCTAACTTTTTATTTAATTAACGAACAATTTGACGAACATTTCTTCATGAATTCAATATAACAAGATTTTAATTAAATCAATACAATTGTATTATCTTAATTACTTATATAAATGTTAAATAAAACTAGTTTGAATTAAAAGAAAAATGTAAAGAACATTTGAAATTTGGCGCCAAACTGGCTGACTGACGCAAGACGAAAAGTTTAGGTCGTGTTAACACTCAACGTGTTAACAGCGCCTTAAGCTTCACTAGCGCTGTTCAAAAACGACAAATTAACGAAACATTCTTGTAGGCAGATGTTCGAATATATACTATGTTATTTATATATTAGTATGTAGTACTATGCGCTATCGATAACTGTTAATAAAGTAATAAACACTAAAAGTACGTTATATTAGGTAATATTACAAAATTTATTCTATAGATAAATTAAAAATTGATATTTATTAAGAGATATATACAATGGCAGATACAGGTACAGACAATAATGATCATGTAAAAACTAATGAAAGATTTTCTCGCAATCGTGAACGTGGTTCTGGTAGTAAAAATCGTGACGGATTTTTTAAGCATAGCGACAGACGAAATGAATTTTATAATCCACGAGGATCAAATAAATATCGTTCTGAATCGTACGGAGGAAGTAGTAAGTTTTAATTACAAAATTTATATATATATAATTCTATTTTATATTAGATAATATAAATAATAAATATATTATAAGTATTGTTAAATTGAACAGTTCAAAATTAAATAAATCATGTTTACATTTTACAGGTTCAAATGATAACAGTTTTAATAAAAACCCATACAAACGAAATTGGACTCCACCGCAAGGAGATGAAAAAAGAAAGAGGTTAGAAGTTGGTAATCGTCTCAAAGAACCTGACATTGGTGTAACAGAATTTATAGGAGATCACCTTGGATTTCCTGGTCTAGTTAAAGAAAGATACAGCGATTTCCATGTCAATGAAATATCTCTTGACGGTGAAGTTGTTAAATTAACTAATCAAGAAATTCCTAGCGAGCCCGAAGAAACTGAAACTTTAGATGATTTAAAGAAATGTGTTCCTGATAACATATGGGAACAATTGCAAGCATTAAAGGAAGAAGAACCATCTAGTTCGACTATTGAAATTGATGTTACTAATATACATAAAGATGTAAGAAGAACCATTCATGAAATTGCTAAAAGACTGGCAAATGTTACGAGCCAAACTATTGATCAAAATGATAAAAAACTCATGGTAATGATGAAAACTACTAAAGGAAATAAAAGTAAAAATGGTAAAATCATCACTTGTTTTAAATAGAAGTAAAAAAAAAGTTATGTTATTATTTTCTATGAAATACTTATACTTTTTCTTATCTTATCAGATCATAGGTTCCGTCTTGATGATAGAGTTAATTGGAAGAAACACGGAGGAGATTATTGTTACTTTTCATTGCATAAAGTAAATATGGATACTATGGACGCTTTAAATCAAATGGCAATGATACTACGCACTAGACCAAATAATTTTAGTTACGCTGGAACTAAAGACCGTAGAGCATGGACTACTCAATGGGTTAGTTTGAAAAAAACACCTCCTAAAAAAATATTACGCGCAGGATATGCGATACGTGGTGCCTATGTAGGAAATTTCAAATTTGAAAAAGTACCACTGAAGTTAGGTATGTTGAGAGGTAATCGATTTAGAATTGCAATAAGAAATGTTATTGCATCAAATGAAGAAATTGAAAAGGCTATGATATCGTTACGCGATCGTGGTTTTATTAATTATTATGGTCTTCAAAGATTTGGCACAGTTGCTGCCATTCCAACTCACGAAATAGGAAAGAAATTGCTACAGGGTAAATGGAACGAAGCAATAGATTTGATTTTAAAACCTCGAGAAGGTGAAAAAGATCAAGGCTTGGCAGAAGGTAGGAAAATATACGAAACTACTAAAGATGCACATGCAGCATACAATAAAATTCAAAGATCTGACAAAATTGAAGCAACCCTTTTAAAAGGTTTAACAATATGTACAGATAAAAATCCTCAAGGAGCATTAGATTTGTTACCGCGAAATATTCGTTTAATGTATATTCATGCTTATCAAAGTTTCATATGGAATCAAATAGTATCTAAAAGAATCAAAGAATTTGGTACACGTCCTATCGTTGGTGACTTAGTATATCAAAATAAGTTGGAAAATAAATGTTTGGAGGAACATTCCGAACAATTTTCTCAAGATAATACAGAAGATGATATCTTAGATAATGACGAAACCAATAATTCTCCGAAAGAAGATCAAGATGAAATGATAACTGAAACATATGAAGAAGATATTGAAAACGATGACAAAGAGTCTAACAACGATATTAAAGAAGTTACAAATGCTACAGAAATTAGCCTTAAGATAGAAGAGAAATCTGACGAAAGTAATACTGTTGAAAATAAAGAAGAGCAAGAAGACTTGAGTCATATTCCTTCTGTTAAAGTTCTTACTGAAGAAGACTTGCCAAATTATACATTGGATGATGTAATAATGCCACAACCAGGTTGGAAAGTGACTTATCCTCCATATGCCAAGCCTTGGTTTGATGAAATTTTAGCAAAAGATGGATTGACTACTGATTTAAGACAAAATAACAAGTAAGTTTAACATTTCATATGAAACTACTTATTATTATTATGTAAACTACATTATTATTTCCTTTTTTCTTTTTACTTTTATAGGAAATACAGTTTAGGTGGAGCTTACAGAAAAATATTACAAATCCCAAAGGACTTATCTTGGAAAATAATGCACTATAAAGCTAAGCATGATAATCTTATTTCCAGTGACATAGACGAAATGAGGAAGGTTACTCCTCCAAAAGACGATCCTGGTAAGTAAAATATTATTTATTGTTAAATTGATTTTTTTCAATTTATTATCAACATGGACATTTGTAGAGGGAGAATTTAAAGCGTTAATAGTAGAAATGAGTTTAAGTGCAAGCACTTATGCCACAATGGCATTACGCGAAATATTAAAACACGATACGTCACCACAAATACAGGCTGCACAATCAGCAGCTCATGATGCGCTTGTAGAAAGTAATAAAACTATTGATGGTGAATCAGAAACAAGCAATAGTGATAATAAAAATACTCAAGGAAAAGAAATGGAAAAAGAAGAATCTGAACGGTCGGATAAAATTGATGATAAAATGGATGTTGATCAAAATCCAAAAGAATTTTCTGTAGAAGAAAAATGCCTAGCCGAATCTGAGACAGAAATGCAAGTAGAAATGGTCACTGATGACGTAGAAATGAATTAAGAAACAAATAACTGCTAAAAAAAGGGGATGTTAGGGCTTTTATGCTAAAGCTGTTTTTTATTTTTTTTATTTTTAAATCAATATTCATGGTGCTACCAAACTTTACTGCTGTTTATCAGCATACGCTGCAATAATTCAACATTTTATCTATTCTCTAAAAATTTTTTTTTTATTTAAACAAGTAAAAGATTTTTTTATCTTATATCATTTCATTTCGCATAAAAATAATAATCAATTGAAATTCAATTCCAAATAAAGCAAAATTTAAGTGCTAATAAAAATATGTGTAGTTGGATAATTTGATTAATAAATGCATTATTTCCTAAATCTACCAGATTCATTATTTTCCTAAACAAATTCATCGTACTGTAAGTGGTTGTGTGTGTTTGCTTACATATACTTAAACATTATAATTTATATTTTAATATTGTGGGACGAGCGCCTCCATGCCAAACTTATCAGGCATTCGTGAGAGGGATTGGTCGGTGGGCCCTGGATAGCTCAATTGTTTATAGAGCAGTCGCCCGGAAAGCGAAAGATCCGTGGTTCGAATCCCGGTCCAGTCGGTCCAGCGGTTCAATTTTTTTCACGAATCCCACAATATTGTAATGGCACCATAAAAGCCCACGGAAAAATAGAATATAATTGAAATGCGTTTGTATTTGAATATTCAAATCTTGCATTACCATTTTTCGGGATAGCAGATAATTCAACATTTCCAGAAACTGTTAAATTAGTTAAAGGAAATTGCGAGCAACGAGTTCTTTGGTGAGATCGTAAATTTCCAATAATAGAAAATCTCCTGTCACATACAGAACATTTATAGGGACGTTCACCTAAAAAAAAAAAACATCATACAAAAAAATATGAGATCTTATATATATGTTTTGTTTATTTATATAATTATAACAAATAAAATTACCTCTATGTACTTTCATGTGATTATCCAAAGCACCTTTTTTAGAAAATCCTCGATCGCATACGGAACATCTTAAAGGCCAATCTCCGGTATGTGTATATCCGTGTGCTCGGAGATCGCCAGGGGTTGAAAATGAACGGTCGCATTCTGTACACTTATGTGGTTTAACCTATTTCATTATTAATAACGTGATAATTAAATTATATTGACCAAATATTCAAGAAAATATCATATGCTTAAAATTTGAGCAATATTATTTTCTTTTCTTATCATTTTGCTGTTCTTTTTACGAGTTCGTATTATCATTTTTTTACTACTACTTTTTTCAATACTACTAAAGAGGGTCAAATCTTTTTTACTGCCTCTCTGAAATTAATAGCACATGATTTTTGTTTTTTTTTTTTTCCGAACGGGACTCTCATCCATTTAATTAATTAAGCTCACGTGGTTTGATTTTAATTGAATCATATCGAAAACTAATAATCTAACGTGACTGGATCGTGAAAAAATTGAATGACATTTAAATTTATTATCCGTAGAATTGAATTCGAAACTTTTTTAAACTAAATATAATATGTAAATCTTGCTATTTAGTTTACTAATAGTAGTTATAAATAATTTAATATCAAGGCATCGAAAATTAATTATTAAACTTGATAAAATCTAAAGATTGTAATATTATATGAATAAATCTATATATTTATAATTTACCTTAGAATGAGTTAATTTATGGTAGTACAAATTTGATGAGGCCGTAAAATCTTTTCCGCAATACTGACACTTATGGGGACGTTCACCGGTATGTATTCTCTCATGTGTTTTTAATGAACTACTTGTGCTAAAAGATTTACCGCATACCGAACAACTATGCGGTTTTTCACCTAAACAATATAAACAGAAATCAGTCACAACAAACACAATGTCATGACAAAAAGTGAAAGAAGATAAATCATATATATTTTTTTTTGCTTAGATTCAAACCTGTATGTATTAGTAAATGTCTTTTTAGTAGAGAGGGTCTGTCACAAACTTTATTACAATATTGGCAAGTATAACAACGCCGTAATCTTAAAGTATCAGTATTAATTTCTTTGTACCTTCCGCTTCTACTCAAATCTAATGGCGCTTTCTGCATTTTGTTTCGAATGATGTGTAAACAAATTATTAATCGTTGAACTAAATAAACATGAAAATAAAAGAAAAGTTAAGAAATGATTAATATATATATATATAAACAAAACAGAAAAGTTAATGTTTATCTGTAATAACACAATTATTATTTACTTACGAAAGATCTACTTTCAAATAAATTTTGATCTTACAGTGTTTTAATGAAAAAAGTTGTAAATATTATATTTCACATGAGTTAAATAACAGTCTGTAACTACTGATAGATTTGTAATACCTCGAGGAAGCCCAAATCTTACTACCTTGAAAATTACGAGCGTGATTATAGGTGAGAAATAGGATAGGGGTGACGATACCTCGGCGCATGTCGGAGGCGGCGTCTTCCAAAGGGCGGAGTTTGTGATATAACTTTTGATAATGTACCCATAAGATCGTCTATATAATATCTCGAAATGCCACGTAATGAGTGGCATCGCTATCAACCCCCTGTATATACGAAAAAATAAACTTACCGATGACAAATGATGATGCTACGAGTGATCGTTTGCAAAATCGTATACGTCAAGAAACATTTTAAACATTTCAAATTCCCCATTCAATATTTTTCCGTTTTATTTATTTTTCTTCTTCAGTTATTTTAAAAATATATTATTGTTAAATGTAGCATGTTTATTATATGTTAAATGATAATCATCCATATATATTTTACAAATCTCTTTGTACTCTTTGTTTCAAATGAGCAGAACCGTTGGAAGCATGATCACGTTTAGCATTATATTGTTTACTTACCATTGTAATTATGACTATAAAGGCATTGTTAAAAATAATACAAAGCGATGAAAACATTTTCGAAGATACTTAAGATATGTTGTTGTTTGAATATTGGTAAATAGTGAACATAATAAATAAAATATTTTTAAAAATGAGCTTATAGTTTGAAATCCTCCCTTAAAATAAATCCATCGAAACTATACATATTATCGAAAATATACGCTGAAAAATATATCGGAGGGTATCAACGGCTTATCGCACATTTTATATGCAGATTGTACAAGCAAAAAGCAAAAGTCATTGGGGTTATCGCACTCTTGAATTCGTTATAGATTTGAATCATGTATCTCACACTGGTTATATGAAAATTATCAAATAAAATTAAAACAAATTCCAAATAGAATCTTCTTCTATTTATATTCAGGCATTTACTATTAGCACATTTTCACTGTTAATTATTAAACACTGTTCATTGTTTAAACAATAAATAGGAAAATTATAAAGATCGATACTTGGGATCACTGCCAAGTATCCGATCTTACTGAACCGTCTTCTACTTACTAACTGTGAGTTCTAACGTTTATTGCTTCTTGCCCTTCAATAGTTACCATTCTTCGTTTCTTTCTTCTCTCTCACTCTTTGGTATATTTAAAAGTAAAATTTGATTTCTATAGATGTATCTTAGAATTCCTATTTAAATTTCAGATCATTGTTATATTTACTCTTATTTAGCCGACCCTTAGATAATTTGGAGATATTAATAGAAAATATTTGTTGGGACTTTATTTTGAAATGCGATCTTTCAGGACATAATTTAAATAGATACATCCTTTTGAAATATAACCTTTTAGATATAACAATAAATGACGGTCAGTACAGGTATTAGGTATATAATAATAAATTCACACATAATATAAATTGACTCATACAATGACGGTCTGAGAAAAGATCGCATAGCCCTTAATTACTCTCCCAAATGGAAGTTTTTTTTTTATTTTTTATTGATGAAGGGAGTAATGCGTCGTCACGATATCGGTAATTTTTCACAAATATTCAACCGGAAGTGAGATAATTCGTCGTATGGCATCAGGACACCGGATGTCCCGCGGTGCCCTTCCCTCGTTTGTCACCCACCAAAGGATATTAACGCTATTGAAGTCTCCTTCGGATCTTTATAAAATGCTCCTTCATCGTCCTACAAACAGCAATGTGCCAGGTACGTGGTATCTATGTATATTACAGCACTATCATTGTCGATCGATTTCACCAACGTTCGAAGCATAAACCAGCATTTTTTTCCCTCTTTTAAAATAGGGAATTTATTCTTTCGAACTTTACTATTTCTTAATAAAAGAATTTCTTTCTTTCTTTTTTTTTTGTTTTATTTTTTTTTTTAATTTCAATCTTTGTTATTAGAAATTCGAAGAAATGAAAAGAAAATTCCTTTGAGAGATTGAAAATTTTCATTATTATTATAACAAATGTAAGAATAGTGGCTGTCTTGTAGTTTTACATCGAACACTTGAAAAACTTAGACTTTTGTTTATTTTCAGATATGCTAAGGTATTATTCATTCTCCTTGAATTTATAGAAAACCTAAAATGTTATGAATACCTAAAGGCAATTTTTTGAGAGCCTTGAAAGTAACGTTGAATAAAAGAAGGGTTTAATAACCAAGCATCATCACATTGTAAGATCTGAAAAACAAACTGAGTTGTTAGGCTAGATCAGAATAGTGGGACTTGAAAAAAGAATCTTTCCTTTTTAGATGATTATGTGTATTTGATTTATTGGCACAATATTCTTATATTAACATCGACACGTCTTATTATTGGTATGCTAAACCTATTGGTATAAAAACTTAACACAAAACTTTACACAATGGTATATAAAATATGGGAAACAGATTTTCATTTATTTATTTTATTTAACAAATTTTTAAATTCATACGCTATTAATTATATTCATCGTGCATATATGTGGAACCTAAATTGGGTTTATTCTGAAATTTCATTTTTCTCGTATTAGGTAGATATTCTAATTCTAATACTTCTAATACGTTTTGACCGGAATGTAAAAATGGTGCAGGTACATAAAGAGTCATTTGTGGACCAGCTAAAGGCCAATATCTGCCAAGGTTATAACCATTTACATATGCTACACCTTTACCCCAACCTGTGGTATCTAGATAAGTGTCCAATGGTTGGCCAGTTATTTGGAAATATGAACGTAAAATAACCGGTCCGTTTCGAAGGATACCACTTTCAATTGTTTTAGTTTTAAAACTGCTTAATCCATTCAAATCGTTTAGCCGAAATCCTGTTATGTTCCAGAATGATAGGGGAATTCCACTGATAGTAACGTTAAAAATACCCTGCGCATAATAAAAATAACGATAATAATATCTACACGATATTCAACGATTTAAATTGTTAAATACCTTGAAATCATGAATTTCGTTGCCATAATTCAGATGTCCTTGATTTTCTACGAGTATTTTCAAGCGTTGGGAATATGGACTCGTTAATGATAAATAATTGATATTCTTGGTACGACTTAAAGTTCCAGCAAGTTGATCATCGACATATACCAATGCTCTGTCTTTTGTTATCGCATCTAATATCATTGGGTCTTGAACATTTGATGGTATGTTAGTTTCGTACAAGACTAACCAATGTGGTAATCCTAATTGTTCAAAAGTCTTTGCCTCGGATGATTGTAATACAGGAGACCCAAACAATTCTCTTGACGATGGTTCAAATAATTCCAGTACAGGTTCCAATAATACTGGACCATAGTCACCTTTAGGTGATACCGTAGGTATGGATATATTTGGCAATGGAAGGTACTAGAAACAAAATATATATATATTAAAATATGACAAGTATTAAATATCATAATTGATTATTCGTTTCTCTACAAAATATTCTACCTTCGATATAACGTCTCTTATTTGAAAATATTTGTCTGTTGGATCACCAGCTTCTGTCAATGGCGCATCATAGTCGTAAGAAGTTAATTGAGGACTATACGATCTGGTATCGCCATTAGCTCCTAAATTAATTAAATAAGATTAGATCAATAATAATAATAAGAAACAAATTATTTTAATATACTAACCTGAAGTAAATCCAAAATTCGTGCCACCGTAAAACATGTATACGTTAACCGATGCACCAACGGCCAACATTTCGTCCAATTTGTTTTTAACAGCGTTAGCTGAAACTTTTTGAAATGGTTCTTCCCAATGAGTCAACCATCCAGGATAAAATTCAGAATTTACCAATGGTCCCTTAAATGATTATTTCTATAAGTAAATTAAGTGTTTCTAATTGTTATTGATAATTAACGATCGTAAGAATATTTACTTTAGCTTGATAACGTCTCATAAGTTCAAAACTAGCGTTTACACTAGAACCAGTACCAAAATCAATTGTGGTGTATGCACCAGGTACTGATCCACAACGGATCATTCTATCAATTATTCCATCCGTTGTATACAAGACAGCTTTATTTCCAATTATCTTTTGAAAAATGTCGTACAATTTGCTCATGTATATCGAATCGCAAGCTGCGTAACTACCATATTCATTTTCCACCTTAAAATATAAAAGGATCGGATGAATATCGTTATGCTAAAAATGTTATACGAATTTAACTTACTTGGACCATAATAATGGGTCCACCATTGCCTCTTAAATAAGGTTTGACTTTATTTAACACAGTAGTCAAGTACAATTCCACGTAACTTAAATATCCTATAACGATGAAAAGAACAAGAAAATTAAAACATATTTTATAGTATACAAAATTTAATATGAACAAAGTCTACTTACTAATATCATTGGTACGTAATTTGATATTTGGTTCACGAGTTAATAACCAATATGGAAAACCACCCTAAAAAAAAAAAAGAAAATTATTAGAACAAATGGAATGATTTTGAATATATGTACATGTAAAATAATTCACTTACGAAGTCTCTTTCAGCGCAAATGTAAGGCCCGGGTCTTAATAAAACCAAAAGGTTCTCTTCTTGTGCGATGTTTAAAAATTCGATGAGATCTGCATCGCCACTCCAATTCCAAACATCAAATTCAGGTTGATGTAAACTCCATTCAACGTATCTGTATACAAAACAAAGATTTATTTAGATTTAGTCTACTTATATTAATTTAATATTTCGTTTTTTCTTACGTTGAAACTGCGTTAAAACCAGCTGCTCTTAATTTTCTCAAACGATCCCGCCAATATACTTTAGGGGCACGAAAATAATGAAAACTACCGGAAACATAACGGAATGGTTTACCATCGAGTAAAAATTGATCATTCGTGTAATCCACTTGAAAACTGTATTTTGACTGTAAATCCTGCAATTGAACATTTGTCTTGATATTATTAAAATAACACGTTCTTACAGTAAAGAGTTTATTATTATTTTATTTTTATATATATATATATATATCAAACACAAACATTTCGTTCGAATTCATACAATTCTCCTAGTGTAGTGGAAACGATCACGGCAAATAACGCTAACACCTTCCACATGTTGCACTAGCTTCTGTACATTCAACTGGACAACCCTTTTTGTTCTTCTTCCAAGTTGCTAAGAGAAGATTCTACGATCTACAATTCTTCGTTGGATCCGGTTCGTTTTAATGATGATACTCAACTGAAACCGGCCAAACAAGTAGTATCTCTAATTGTTTATGTCTAAAGTTCAGCATATAATCGTATATACATATGATCTTCTAAATATATATATATATATATTACTTTTCTTTCTTTTTTCTAACAATAATTGTATTTTATTATGTGTACTTTTTTATGAAATTAAAAAAAAACACAGAATGTTACGTGATAATGAAACATTTTGCTGAACTCACATAACAATTTTGCGGCTTATCATTACACTGTTTACTATTTATCGTATTGATACGTAGATGATAATAATACAGTCCACTCGACACTACTGACTTCCTAGCATCAACTGAAGAAGCTTTATACGTGTGCTTCGACCTAAAGCATATTGTGCGATATATCGCGACGGATTATGAAACACGCAATGTACAGTCTAATCGTTGAATTGCCGATGACTAACATTCTCTAGATGAATGCTAACAGAATAAAGACAAAAAGAGAAAGACAAGAGATAGAGAGAAAGAGAAATACTGAGGTAGATTATAGTTAGCCTAACACGTGCTATGGTCACTTACCTCGATCGACGTTCATTAAAATATACATTTGTTTATCCTAAATTTTGTTTCATTAAAGTGGTCTCTCTTAGTTTTATATTTAATCTGACTTAAGAATATTGAAAACGTTTTTGTTTTGTTTTCATACGAATATATTTAAATAATTATCAGAAATTAAATGGCAGTGATGGAAGAATATTTTGAATTTGTAAAATAAGTAATTCGAATGATAAATTTATCCCACAAAAAAAAAAAAATAAACATGATACAATACTATCATTTGATATCACTATGTTAATGTAGTTTCAGCATGGTGCCAGAAAGACCGGCAGGTTTTAACATACCGTTAACTTTACTGTGACTCGTTCCACTTAAAGTTAGTAAAAATTTATGATTAAACTACGGCACATGCATATTTTTATTGGATATAACGTTGAACCTTTCCAAAGAAAATAGGTTTCAGGGATTCCAAGGGAAAATGTTTGTTTTACATATTTTATATACTTCACGTATATATTTGTTTTCACACGTGTTTGTGTATATCGTTTATATTAATTACATCTCTATTTTTAATTATTTATTGAAGTTCCGGGTAATAAAAGTGCCATTATTGTTGCACGTTTTAAATATACTTTAATTAAGTATTACATTAATTTTTATATACCTTGATAAGGTGTAGCAAATTGTTCTACGATAATATCTTCATATTTTACACATGTTGTTTGCATATTTCAACATATTTCAAACTATCCGCAGTTATAATTTATAACCATTCAACACTTTTGCGCATAACTTCGTTCGTTTGAAAATAATTATTATTAAATTTATAATTAGCTATCTTGAAAATCTGAGCAATTAATCTAACGTAGCAACACAACATGTTTATTGTCATTTTTGTTTTGTTTTGTATTTATTTTGATTATATCAATAAATTGTAAACATTTACTCATTGGCATGATTTACACATTTTAAGATTTGCTATCAATAATATGATGATAAGATTATTCATGGATAAATAATCTTGATTAAAAGATAATTGATTAAGTAAACATGTTTAGTGGGTAAAAATATATATATATATATATA